ATACAAAAACTAGAAAAGTTACTATGCTCTCACTAGCTTTGACATACACGCAAGATTCATCTTCACATCTAGAAATCCAAACTCTTTAACCTTTTCATGGAAGCCAAGATTCTAGCTATAAGATGCTTGTTTCAGTCCATATACGAGCTTCTCAATCTTGCACACTTTATTAGGGAATTTTGAGTGTACAAAACCCTCTGATTGAGCCATGTAAAAATCCTCAGCCAGTTTCCCGTTAAGGAAATTAGTTTTGACATCCATTTTCCATACTTCATAGTCATAGTGAGCAACTATGGCAAGCATTACCCTAATTGACTTAATCTTGGCAACAGGTGAAAAGGTCTCATCATAGTCAATCCCTTAGGTTTGAGTAAAGCCTTTTGCAACCATCATAACTTTGTAAGTCTGTACATTACCATCCATGCTAGTCTTCTTCTTGAATCCGCTGTCTTTCGACCAGGTGCTTGATCAAACAAGGTCCATACATGGTTATCATATATGGATTGGATCTCGTTATCCATTTCCTCTTTCCACTTAGCAGCCTCAGGGCCTTTCATCACTACCTTGTAGTTAGCAGGCTCATTCAAATTTACCAGTGTTGCATCACTAACGCTACTGGACCGACGAAAGGGCAACGAAATTGCCAACGGGCTCAACAGTTTCATTCTCAGGTTGGAAGCTAGTATCTTCAAAAGTTTCTTCATCGGATGACTATTGAATCTCTTCAAGGTCAACCGTGCTCCCATTTAACACCCATTTTTCCAGGACGAATCGAATTAGGTTTCAAGGAGTCAAAGGGTTGGATTCCGGAGAAAAGGGATCCTCACGGCGTAGGATGGGTTACATGATTTAATAACGTGCAGCGCACGTCCATGGAACGTCATTTAAGTGCGTTTTATTATTTATTTTTCATTTTTTTCGTTTTATTTATTTATTTTGTAATTTTCGTTAAAAGAAACTCAAATTTTTTTAAAATAGATAAATGCTCAGTATTAACGTTTTTAATTGTTTTCGCTTTTTTTTTAAATTATTATTTTTTCTTTTTATCTTTTTTTAAAACATCTTTACTACATAATTGAAGGTACTAGTGTTTTTCTTTATTTTTGTTTTTATTTTATTTATTTTTTAAACTAAAGATCGGTTTGAGTTTTTAATGTTTAACATTTATACAATTTTCAATAAGAATATTAATGATCATAACATTTTCCGTTCATATTTTATTTGAATCGTATTATTTTTTGATCATAATTTTTTAATCAAAATATTTTGAATTGTAGTATTTAGAATAAAATTCTTTTTTAATCATATGATTTTAGATCAATAATATATTCAATTAAATATAGTTTTTGTTAAAAAAAAATTATGGATCATTATATATTTTGAATAATTTGATTTTGAATCATAAAAGATATAACTAAGGATTATAGAATATTTGAGTCTAAATATTTTTAGATCATAAAAAAATTAAGGATCATCAACAAGTTGAATCAAAAGTTTTTTTTTCGAATCATAAATATTTTGAATCAAACATTTTTTTTAAAAAAAATTATAATTCTTAAAATTAAAAATAAATACTTCAAAAACTTATTTTTGATAAATTCTTTTTTACAAAGTCTCTAGTATATTAAATAGAAATATCTCTTAAATTTTTATGATTTTTGGCGAATTTTTTCTGCGTTTTTTTATAAAAATAAAAATAAAAAAAATACATTTTTTTTTCAATTTTTCTTAATTGTGCTCATTTTGTAGAGAATTAAATTTTAAGAACTTTGGTTTTTCAGATTTTAAAAACAAAAGTTATTGCCAAAAAACGAAGTGTATGTAAAAATAAAACTCGCAAAATAAGGGTTTGACATGTGGCAGAGAGAGAGAAAAAGAGGGGGGGGGGGGCAGGCGGAATTCACACGCTGGACGCTTTTTTCCCTTCTTTCCTTTTACCCATTTAACCTCGAAATAATTAACCTTTGCCGGAAAATATCAAAATCTCGCACATAATTACAAAAACGCCATATCATCTCCCCAGATATTCACGATAAATAAAATCAAATCTCCACTTTTTATTTTTTCAATCATGCAGAAAAGATTGTACTCGCGGTCCTCCGTCGAACCAACTAAAATATATATATATATACACACACACACACACACTTTTGGTGAATAGTTTTCTTATTAGGAAATATTTATTAGATTTTATTATTAGTTATTATGCACTAAAAAAAGTATCACTTTTAAATAAAATATTTATGTTTAGAACTTATATTTATATTGCATATTTATACATTTTATGTAATTAATTATTTTCGGTATCTAGTTTAAGAAATGCAAATTAATTTATATAGATAACTTTAATATTTAAAAATTATCATTTTGTTACAAATTTAATTTCTTAATAAAATTTCTTAATTCAAGTTTTCAAACTTTTGACAAGTATTAATGATTGTTTATGCATAACTGATTTGTATAAAAAGTTTTGTATCTTATACGTTTTAAAACTCAACATATGAATAATATGTTTTATATATATATATATATATATATATATATATATATATATATAGATATATATATATATATATAATATTATATATATGATCGGGTGAGTATTTTTTTCGGTGGGGACTCGTGAGTACACAATATAAAAATTGAAAAAAATAAAAAAAATACAAATCTTAAAATCGAGTTTAGTATTATATCGGAGAGAAAAAAAAATTGGAAAAAAAAATTGGATTATTAAAATTGAAGAATTGATCATTTTTATGATCCATGATTCACATTTTATGATTCATGATTCAATTTTAATGATCCAATTTTTTTTCCATTTTTTTTCTCTCCGATTTAATACTATGCTCGATTTTATGATATGTATTTTTTTTTTTAAATTTTATTAAGGTGTTCTCACCAAAAAAAAGTACTCACCGGAACCGGACCCTATATATATATATATATATATATATATATTATATATATATATATATATATATATATATAATATATATATATATATATATATATATAATAGGGTTGATATCGATTGAGAAGTCAAAGTTTCCCGACAACCCGAGAACTAAAAGTGGAGTGTTGGATCAAAAGTAATTCGTTAAGGACATGATCATCATCTTACCAATCTCATTTAATGTTTAATTTTTTGTCTTATTTAATATGATAATATAAATGTCTAAAAATTAACAAAATAACTCAAAATTTCGTATTTATTTTAAAAAAAAAAGTTTTCGATTTTTTTAAAAAATAGAGATTTTTTATTTTTTTCAAAAAACATGAATTTTGTTAAAAAAATGAAAAAATATATATTTTTTAAAAAACTGCATCTTTTTTTCAAAAAAAACTGCATTTTTTTTTTTAAAAATCTGCATTTTTTCTAGAAAAAAACTATATATTTTTTTCAAAAAAACTGCATTTTTTTTCTTCAGAAAAACTGCATTGTTTTAAAAAAAAAACTGCGATTTTTATAAAAAAGTGCAATTTTTTTTCAAAACTACATTTTGTTAACAAAAAAATCAACGTTTTACGTGCATATATGCAGATTTTTTCAAATGCATATATGCATATTTCTTATACTATAATATTCGTAAGTAAATTATAAAATATCTCATTTTTATTAATCAATCTATAAACATAATACAAATATTTTATTCGATACAAAATAAAATATAAAAAAACTACAAAGATTCACAATTTTATCATTTCTTTATATCAAGATTTCCATATTTTCTTCAATTTATCACTTTTCACCTCTTCAATATTTTCCAAAAATTCTTCAAAATATATAGGAAAAAAAATTGATTAATGCAAGAACACGCACATGTATATATCATGTAAGATTCACATGTGATTATATAATGTGATATTCACATGTGATTGTATCTTTTAAGATGTAAATGTGAAATTCACAAGAAAATTTTAAAAAATAATTAACGAAGAACACTTACACAAAATGCATGTGTGCATATAGACGTAATTCATATGTGATTCACTTATGATTTACATGTGAATCACATGTAATTCACTTGTGATTTACATGTTAATCACATGTAATTGATATGTGATTCACTTGTGATTTACATGTGAATTACATGTGATTAATATGTGAATTACATGTGAATCACATATAATTCATATGTGATTAACTTGTGAATCACATGTAATTCATAGGTAATCACTTGTAATTTACATGTGAATCACAAATTAATCATATGTGAATTACATTTGAATCACATATAATTCATATGTGAATTACATGTTATTTACATGTGAATCACATGTAATTCATATGTGATTCACTTGTGATTTACACGTGAATCACATGTAATTCATATTTACATGTGAATCATATGTGAATTACATGTTATTTACATGTGAATCACATGTATTGCATATGTGATTCACTTGTGATTTACATCACATATAAATTACATGTGAATCACATGTAATTCATATGTGATTCACTTGTGATTTACATGTGAATCATATGTAAATTACATGTGATTTACATGTGAATCACATGGAATTCATATGTAAAGTTTGCAACCAAAATACTTCAATAAAATTATATTTTCATTTATATATTATACTAATGGATTAGTTTATTGGTCACCGAATCAGAAATCAATGATGGAACAGAAAATAACCCAAAGATGAATTAAAATGTACCTCTTTCCTCAATGTAAAATGACCAAAATCCAAACGAAAATGACTGTTATACTTTGATGAGGCATTTAATCTTATAAGAATTCTAATTTTTGGAGTATCAAGATCAATATCAAGAGCAAATCTGCAAATGCAAGAAGAAATACAAGAAATTAGCAAACTTTTTTATTGTAATAGTTTTATCAAAGAGAAAGATATTAGTTTCTCATATATATAGTTGAATTTAGTAAAATTCATCCAACTATACCTGCAAAGCAGTTGCTGTTTCATAAGCAACTTTAGGATTAACAAAATTGTTCCTCTTCATAAATTCCATAAAATGGAAGGAATTACATTCATTCAAGAATCGTCCATTCCAATGGAATGATACATTCTGCAAGAAGAAATACAGGAAATTAGTAAATATTTTTTTTTGTAATAGTTTTATCAAAGAGAAAGATATTAGTTTCTCATATATATAGTTGAATTTATTAAAATTCATCTAACTGTACCTGCAAAGCAGTTGCTGTTTCATATGCAACTTTAGGGCTAACAAAATTGTTCCTCTTCATAAATTCCAGAAAATGGAAGGAATTACATTCATTTAGGAATCGTCCATTCCAATGGAATGATACATTCCATTCCTTCTCCATCATACCAACGTTGAGCTCTTTGAGGGTTGCATAGATCCTACATGGCATTTTCCTTACAATCTTCGTGATCATGTAGTATACACCCAAACAAGACCCCACTGCAGCCATTGCCAAAGGGGTGTCTTTCGTGCTCTGAAAAAGATAAAACAAGCCTCAGATATAAGCAAGTAAAACATAGAATTCATTAAATCATGAACCACTTTTGGAAATATGAGTTTAATTAATGAATATAGTAACCTACGAGGATAATAGATGTGACTGCAACTCCAACATCAACTTCTCCATCTTCAGAAATAATATATTTCCTCACCAGCCAATATCCGAAAGCAGCTCCTAACAAAATGATTCCAAGCACCATAAAAACAGAAACCTGCAAGGTTAAATAAAATTTTCTGTAAGATTAATAGATTATAATTCTAAGTCGTAAAGTAACCAATAGTGTAAAAATGAGGGACTTACTGGGTTCTGGACTTCTTGACTTAACCCAAAGTTTTGGAGTAATGAATTCAGAAATGTTGAGAGGCTATGCACCACAAAAAGATCCTGCTCCAAGCTGGAAAGATTATAGAATACAAAGCAAAAAACAAAACATTTTAGAAACCACAAAAGATACTTGGTGTCCCAAATCCTGTATATGAGTTGTTGCTATCAACTTAAATGAACTGTAAGGGAGAAGAAACTTACTACTGTGGACATTATACCAAGGTAAAATGCATTTCTCCTGCCAGTTGGCAACAATTTCCTTGCCTGGTCAACAATAAATATAATATAATCAGAAAACAATTAAATATATTGCTAAAAATGGCATTACACAACAGAAGAAAATATATTTCCTTTTCTTCAGTCTACTGGTAAGAGAGAGAGAGAGAGAGAGAGAGAGAGAGAGAGAGAGACGTACCTGATAGAGTAATATGAGAACAACAACTAGAACTCCAATAGCCATGGAACTGGTGTAGTAAAAGGGGACCCATTCGCTGACAAATGGTGCGAAAATTGTAAAACAAATCCCACAGCTAGCAAGTAACTTGTGATTCTGGAAAGACATAATAAATTCAGCAACCTGGAAGAATATAACAACATCGGTGTTTTCAATAACATGGTGTTCTTTCTCAATATCCTCACGAATTGACTGCATTAACACTATTGAGAATACATATGGACTGATTAGTAATGAGTAATGACACCACGGATAACAACATATAGTTTCATTGAGAATACAGTAATTACCATTATACCCTCCTAACAGGAACTGATTAGTAAAATCATGGAGCAACCGAAGGATATTCTTGTTTGTTGTTGGCATTCTTCCACTCTCCAATGGCATCTTTTTTGATGAATCACGCTGGTTTTTATGACCTTTAAGCAATGAATCATGAGAATCAGAACAAGCGTTTCCTTTAACTAAAACTTTGGAACCATCCTGTATATAAAGCCAATTGATGAAGTTAGTAATGAATATCTGAATGGATCCACAGCTAAATGAAAAGCTTTTACCATAGTAACTCGGGTGAATGATCCACTGAACTTTGATCGAGCACCAATATTTAAAAGCATTGTTTGCCTTCTTTTTTCTTTTTATAATTAAACCTAGTCGTTCACTGTAGTGAACTTGAAATGCTAAATTCGAGTAATGAGCAACAAAGAAATTGCACATGAGAATGAACTTACTGGAGACGGAGTGGATGATGACACGACCTAAACGGAAACGCCACCGCATTTTGTGGCTAAGAATTCAGATTCGAAGGATCCTGCATTTCAACGATCTGCGTAGAGTCTTCACCTTACTTGATGCAATGAATAAGGAGACAATTGACGGAGGAGACGATGGATTTCGGACTGTGCTTATGGATTTCGGATCGACACCGCCATCGGTGCGGTGAGTTCTGGAATGCGATGAAGATGGAGATTTATGTAATAACAAAGGAATACAGGTAATCAAAATTACAAAGATCCATTAATAAATCATAAATAAATAATCAAAAGATAATCAGCGATTTCAAAATAGCTTCAAGAAACACAATCAACATGAGGCATTAAATTCTAATTGAGGATTAAAAGACGAACCTGAGTTGATTTACGATTGCTTCTGATTGCTGTAATGCATAACAAATTCACCAAACTAGATTGATTTAGAGGAAAGAGATTGACCAGAGCATTCAAATCGAAACAGAAGGCGTGAAATCGATTCTGATTTGCAGATATAGGCGATCAGATGAGATGGAGCCGGTTGGTATTTGCGATCCATGAGCTTAATCGATTTTTTTCGATTAATGATGAATTATCGATGCTTGACATAGATGAGAGGGAGGCTGGAGGATCTTCGGCAAAGAGAATGGTAGGTCGATGTATGAGTGGTCTTCTACAGGCGTATGGATGAAGGAGAAGAGACCGCACCTTCAATGGAGTCGATGTAACACCCATAAAATTTAAGTGAATTTAAAACTTTTTAAACAATCCAAAAACCATTAGTTATTACAAAACTTGTTTTCAAAAGGTATAATATCAGAGTATCCCAGAAACATAAACAAAAATATGAGGAGCTGTACGATCACGCATTCGCGTTGCCGCGATCCCCTGATGTACCTGAAACAATAAACTAAAACTGTAAGCCTGAGACTTAGTGAGTTCCCCAATATACCGATACACTGCACATAATACATATACAAATAACAACATGTACTGGGTCCATAAATTTATACAGTGGAATACCCCTGGGCCACAGCGTGAGTCTGGATTGCCTACCGGGCCCACAACTCACATCTGGATTGCCATCGAACCCACAGTACGAGTCTGGATTGCCTACTGGGCCCACAGCTCGTATCTGGAATGCTCCTAGGGTTTGTTGGTCACCGTACGAAGCGGTACATCCTCAACCCATCCCACAAAACATATCAACATATAACATAACTACTGAGCATGCAGACAATCATATAACAACATAGGTAGTCCTACAGATCTACCTAACTGGCATAACCACTAGCATGCAACACTAACTCATACTCAACTTCTAACACTGCTAGGATAACATATCCAATGGTCCGGCCTTGGTGCCTTAGATCCCTTAGTATAGTGAGATAACTCACCTCACAAATGTCGCATTGAAGTGATAGGCTCAAATTCTCAAATCACCAACACGAGCTCCACCACCTATAGTTACCATAAAACCTTTTCATAAATTTCCAAATTACCAAAATACCCTCAGAGGTCAACTGGTCAACCCTTGGTCAAAGTCAAAGTCAATCTATCAAGGTCAACAGTCCATGTTGACCCGACTCGTCGAGTGCAGTTCACCGACTCGTCGAGTCCTTCCTGAACTCGAGAAGTCGTGAAATCCTTGGTTGACTCGTCGAGTTTCCCTGTAACTCGCCGAGTTCATGGGTGTCCAAAAGTCGGGAAAACCCTAACTGACTCGCCGAGTCACCCTACTGACTCGTCGAGTCCATGCAGAACTCTTTGCACGACAATCTTCATCGGACTCGTCGAGTTGACCATGCAACTTGTCGAGTCCCTTCAATCTTTTCTCCATTCAGATGCTTTTTAAGCCAGTCCAAAGCTCCAAAATGCAGATCTAAGCTCCTAAGGCATACTTCTTACGTAAAGTTACAAACTTTACGTACATGCAAGGTGCTAATGACTTAAATCAAGCTAAAGAAGTGGTTCTAGGCAAGGGATCACACTAGCATGCTAAAGGCTGAGACTTTATGATTGTAAGGGCTAAGATGAGCCTAGATCTGAAGTTGCAACTTCAGATCTTGGTTCACCACTCAAATGAAGTACCAAAATGCCAAATGGCCCCAAAACTCAAACATAGAAGGATCTAACTAAGAGAAGGTCAAGGTAATGACTTGATACCTTCAAATGATGCTAAGCTGGGGTAGACTTCAGATCTACACACATTCTTTGCCTCACACTTCTTGATCTTCAAGCTCCTTGCAACAAAATCTTCCTTCCAACTTGAAAAATCACACTAAATGGGGCACACACACGAATTAGGGTTTCAGAGCTCAAGGGGACGGTGAGGGGAGGCCAAAGGAGGCTAATGATCCTTTAAATAGGGTGTGAAACCCCAGAAATTAGGGTTTCATCCTTCAGCACCTACTCGCCGAGTCCGTTTTCGACTCGTCGAGTCGGTCACTTAAGACCCGCGACCAAAATCGTGCCTACTCGATGAGTCAGGGCATCCAACTCGCCGAGTCGACCTAAAAAGTTGGAAATACATGATTGAAAATTAATACCTGAGAGTTGGGGTGTTACAGTCGAGATGATCGACAACAACGAATCCTAGACCGTGTTGGTCGTTGATACAGGTAGGGGTGGGCGTTGGAGGCGGAGGCGGAGGTGGAGGGAGGTGCCGATGGAATTAGGGAGGAGGTCGATGGAGTCAGTGAAGAATCGGGAAAAGGGAATGATTGATAGAGAGAGAGGGATCCGATATGTTTATTTGGGTTTATCCCTAAAATGTCCTTATGTTATTTTTTTTAGGAACCCTCCCGTGTTTTTTACCAAATTATTTACAAAAATGTCATAAAGGATCTTAGCCTTTAATTTTTTTAATCCAAATGTTCATTTTTAGTTCTCAGGTTCTCGGGAAACTATGAGTTCTCAAATGATCCTTCTTTTTTATATATATATATATATATATATATATATATATATATATATATATATAATATATATATATATATATATATTATATATATATATATATACAACATACCTGAACATGTGTGCATTCCCATAGTTTATATTAAGGAATATCTTGAAGAAAAATAATACGTGCATAATATATATGTACGTGTTTTTAGTTGTGCGTGTCTCATGGGTGGTTCCACTTTTCATTTTGGAGATTGTGGTTTCATGGAAATCTTTGTCGGGTCGCAGATCGCGTCTACTTTTGTCTTTCATATTGCTGTTCACATACACTTTTACATGATGGATATATAGAATGTTTTTAGTTCATACAGTCATACTTTATTAAACTTTTCAATCATATATATCATTTGTGTTTAAATTTGATCAAGTTTTTAGATACAATTCATTCGTTTAGTTGATTAATATTATCTATAATAAATCCTTATCCAAAAATGATTTATGTTACTCAAGTTAATTAACTAAATTTAAATAAAATTACATAATTGATATGTTTGTGAGGGTATAACCTTATAAATTTGGAATAGATAAATCATTCATCAAATGTATTTTATTAAACAACCCATAAAATTTAGTAGTCGTGCTTTGAGTTTTCAGAAACCATTATGTCATATTTCTTTTTCAAATAGATTTTGTTGTACCACATTTTGTTTAGTTTCGAAACTTCATTTAACCTTATATATGTCTTGAAACAGAAGTTGGTAAATTGTTATATTTTACTCTTAAGATATTTAACACCTGATTTATTTGAATGTTCCGTTTAACTAGGACTGGTCGAAGTTGATTCGAGGCCTGGAGTAAAAATAAAAACAAGGATTTTCAAAATACATAAAATTGTAGGCAGGTAACTAAAAGTAATATACAAAATAGTAAAAGGCATTAACTCACTAAAACTATAATTATTTGTGCAGTAAACGTGAATGAAAAAACACGCCAAGAATCCAAATAATATTAATTCAAGTAGATTATAATTAAGATATCAAACGTAAACAACCCCAAAAGAGAATAACGGTGCAGTAAATAAAAGGAACATAGAGATTTACGTGGAAAACCCAAAGCGGGAAAATCACGGACGGAAGAAGTCGAGAATCAATCCACTATAACTTGCAGTTTTTACAAAGCTTGAGAAAAGAGTGATTACAATAAGTTTTAATGGTGATTCGCACATTAGGGTTAAAACCCTTTTGTTGATGTCGTCGCCGCTTTACTTGGTGCCAAAGAAAAGAAGCAGTCGTAGGTTTTTAAATTGAATCCTTTATGATTGAATAAATATAAAACAAGGTTACACAAATTGCCCTTGACCATTAAACAATTGTCACATTTGGAAGACATAATTCCACAATTTCCACCTTGACTTCAAGATGTAGCAGGTAACAAAATAGTTCTTCAACGTGCTCAACGATTAGTCAAAACCAACAGCTCATCAAACTCCAAAACTCCATAAATACTTGCAACCACCATATAGAGAAAGATTGATTTTGGAAAGTAAAGTACCTCGTCCACGACGACCCTAATAGGCTCAATTGCCTTCAGAAACACCCACCAAGTCAAGACATAACTTAAACGTGGCTATTGGAAGACTTTTAGTGAACATATCAACATAATTAAAGTTCGTATTGATCTTGTTCGAAAAGCAGTCACCATTTTCAATGATATCTAACACAAAATGAAAGTGAATGTCAATGTGCATTGTTCGGTCATGAAACATTTGATCTTTACTTTAGAAAATAACACTTTGATTATCACCAAATATGGTGGTAAAGCATTATTCTATCAAGTTCTACAAATAATCATTTCAACCGGATATCTTCCTTAACAACTTTTGTAATCACCATATAATCTGCCTTGGTAGAGGACAAAGCAAATGTAGACAATAACTAGGCTTTCCAACTAATAGCACAACCATTTAAAGTAAACTCATACCATATAATGGATCTTTGTTTATGCAAGTATTTACCATGATCTAAATCAACCTACCCAAGCAACCCATTATTAGATGCACCAAAGTGTAGAAAAATAGAAGACTTACGCATGTTAGGGAAATCCACTACACTGATTTCCAATGTT